GCGCCCCCGGGGTTTGCATCATTTCTGATTCCATCTCTGTGCTGCGGATTCTCACGCTCGACCTCAGCAAAACCCAGATGGCGTCGGATTGAGCTGGACCATACCGGAACACCCAGAAAAAGAAAAGCGACTCCATCGCACAAAACCAGCCATGCTCTTAAACATTATTGTGAAAGAAAATATTTGTTTCTTCAATAATTTTTACTTTTAAAGGGTTAATCAAATGAGCCCAGAAAAACTACTGGGCATTTAAAACTCAGCTGTAAATTCTTTTCACTGTTGTTAAAATCTTATCATGCACAGTGTGATATTTAGCAAAAACTTTTTTTTGGGGGGGGCGGTTTCTCTGGTACCGGGAACCGAACTCACGACCTTGCGCTTGCCAGGCAGGCGCTTTGCCGCTGAGCTAAATCCCCAGCCCGCAAAAACTTTTAAACTACCATTATACAAGCCTTTAGCTATTCCCATTTCGAGCATGTCGAAGAGAATGCTATATATTGTGATCAGCACGGGAGTTTTCATTTCCCACCTGGGCCGGTTCACCCCTCCTTCAGTAGGCAACCTGGTAGTCCCCAGCTCCTGGGAGGTCAACATATTTGATGCCAAACTTTTTGCCGTCACCCTATCTGCACAGTGCATTGCAACCCAGAACTCCTGGACTCTAGCGATCCTCCCACTTGAGCCTCCCGAATAACTGGGACTACAGACCTGCGCCACCACGCCCGGCTATGAACTTCATATTGTGAAACTCTTCATAATCACAGAATATAATGTTTCTCCTTAAAAATAGGGCAGCGGAGTAGAGTCAGGGAAATGACGCAAGACAGCACTCCCAGCGTCTATTCATTTAAAAAGCTGAACTTTCTTCTAGGTTGCCACACTTCTATCTCCCAGCGACTTAGCTATACCTGAACATTAGTACCACTGATCAACTTGCAGTTTCCCAAAAGTAATTGCCTTGGAGAATTTATACTTAACTGTCATTCTACTGCATTCAATCTAGACCCTCTTATTATTTTTAATTGGCCTTCTGCTCTACTATATCTCATCATGATCTTTGTGATTGGCTGATCCCCCATGCAAAAACTACAGCATCCTCAATAACAGCACCCCGCTGGGCGTCGTGGCACATGCCTGTAATCCCAGCACGTGGGAGACCAAGGCAAGAGGATCACTGTGAGTTCGAGGCCACCCTGGGCTACAAAGTGAGTTCAAGGCCAGCCTAAACTACACAGTAAGGAAGTCTCAAAAATAATTAATGATAGGGCTGGGGATATAGCTCAGGGGCACAAGTGCCTGCCTGGCAATCACAAGGTCCTGAGTTCGATGCCTAGTACCAAAAATAATAATAATAATAATTAATAATAATAATAGCACCATATGTTTCAAAGAACAGAAATGAGATTAATGTTAAAGGAATAAATGATCCAATAAAAGTAGTATCTAATTTATTAAGAATGGGTGTCCCAAAATACCTAAATAAACTAAAATCACTTGTATACGTCATTGAATTTTATAAAACAACAGAATTAATAGGGAAGACAAGAAGTGAAAATATTTGTCCTTCCTTTGTTTTATTCATTGTTCCCAATTTCATAGCTGAGTCATCTGACATCTCCAAATAAATGCCTATTCCAATGTCAGTTTACTCTATTCTGGATCACAAAATAAGAATGAAATCTTCTTATGTATTTGGAAAAGGAAACCAATGTATTGACAAACATTAAAATTTCTAATTCAAAAATACTCAAGAATAAAGTAATGCATAAACTCATATACAGAAGATGAACATTGAAACATGAGTAAAAGAGAGAGAAAAGAAAATGCAGGGAGGAAGGAGTAAGGGAGAAAGAGTGATATCTAATGATTCAAATAAACAAGAATACAAAGATAATGTATATCTCTAGTCAAGGGCCTGACCAATAGTGAGTTGAGCTGTTCTAAATTAAGGAACTCTTAATAGATGTTGTCTGTTCCACTAACAGCAGAATGTAGCTTTCTGAGCAGGATGTAAGGAAGAGGTGTCCAGCAGGTAAGAGTCCAGAGAAGGAGGAGACACTGACAAAGTCTCAGACATTTATTGAAAGAGATAGGCTTAGATAATAGACCCTATCCCAAGCAATGTTAGTTTTCATGGACTAAGACTGCAACAGGCTCCTTCCTAGAAAAATGAAATTCAAGTAAAATTGTCAA